ATAAATATTTATTTACAGAATATTTATACCATACTTAATTTGCCATACTCGTACCCTCTATATTTCAAGCAACTGTATTGTATAACTGTTTAGTATTTGTACTCAATCACGTACCCGATCTAGAGCAACCTAGTATTTTAAATTCCCATGGGTACCTTTAATGATCATCGTACCCGTACCGAACATGCAATATGCACCCGTATCCTTATGGGTATTTAATACATTGATATATAGTTTTATTATATTTTAAAATAACCCATGACCGATTAAGTAACCTCTGACCAATTTACAACCCTTAAGACTAAGTATCCCTTGACTTATTACATTTTTTTTAATACATTTTATTCTTTTTAAAAGATTGATAGGGAATAAAATAATATAAGTCAAACAATATATCTAATGGAGCAAATGAGCCACAATGACAATACATATTACAAGCGTGGATGAGGGGATTAAAACCTATGACATCAATATCGTGTATAAACTGATAGACCTCAGTCTTAAGTCTTAACCAAGCCAAGACCTCGTTGGTAAAGTTAAACAACACATGAATTATTACTCAAGTGCTACGTACATTAAAGCATATGACATTGTATAGTCACCGTTATTATTAGACCAAAATACAAGTTCTTACAAGTTAGATTATTGCTTAAATATGAACATGCAAATGAATTACAAAATAACTTACCACCAAAATAACATCTAACGAAAGTAAAGATTAGTGTAGAGTGCATGATTAATGTCTTGATGAGATTGTTATTGCTTAGTTCAATTAACAAAATATTTTACATTATTTATAGTGTGCAAGAAGAAAGGATGGAATTATGCACATGTTTCCAGAGGATGAAATAAGCTAGCAAAATAGTTTCATGCAGTGGCGATTCCAGTATGGGTTCAGTGGGTTCAGCTGAACCCATACTAGATCCAAAAAAAAATAATAGGTTTTTTTTTACAAAAATAATCAAAAGAAGGGATAAATATTAAACTAAGGAATTTATGTTAGACAATGCGCGGACTACTGGTTAGCGCTTTACCTTCTAGAGGAAAGGTATGGGTTCGAAACCCACTAACCGCACTTCTCTATTTTTTTTACAGAAAAAATAATTAAAACAAGGCTTTAAAATTAAACCATGCATTTGTTTAAACGAGAGAATGTGCGGACTATTGATTAGTACTTTACATTTCAGAGGGAAGGTCTGGGTTCGAAACCCACTAACCTTTCACTTGTTCTATTTTTTTTCAGCTTATATTTTTTTTTTTTTAAGTTTGAAATTGTTAGTTAAACTCAAAATTTGTTATTTATATTGTTAATTATTCAATAACTGAAGTTGTAAATGCTTGATGGATTTGTACAGTTGTTAATTAGTTGGAGTAAATTGGTAATTGGATGAATGATGTGAACTGTGAACTGTCAATTCAAAATCCGTGAAGTAGAAAGTAGAATGTTACGTATATATTCTATCATTGTATTTTACAGTTTGGATATAAAAAACTCAAAGTATTTTTGGAAAGAACGTGTGTTAAAATTGCAAAATTCGTATAAAGTTGAGTTCAATTGTAATTTAGTTTAACTTTTTTGTTGTTGTTGTTGTAATTGACATGTATTGTGCACACCCGAATGAACAAATGCAAATTTGTTATTTATATTGTTAATTATTCAATAACTGAAGTTGTAAATGCTTGATGGATTTGTACAATTGTTAATTAGTTGGAGTAAATTGGTATTGGATGAATGATGTGAACTGTGAACTGTCAATTCAAAATCCGTGAAGTAGAAAGTAGAATGTTACGTATATATTCTATCATTGTATTTTACAGTTTGGATATAAAAAACTCAAAGTATTTTTGGAAAGAACGTGTGTTAAAATTGCAAAATTCGTATAAAGTTGAGTTCAATTGTAATTTAGTTTAAATTTTTTGTTGTTGTTGTTGTAATTGACATGTATTGTGCACACCCGAATGAACAAATGCAAATTTGTTATTTATATTGTTAATTATTCAATAACTGAAGTTGTAAATGCTTGATGGATTTGTACAATTGTTAATTAGTTGGAGTAAATTGGTAATTGGATGAATGATGTGAACTGTGAACTGTCAATTCAAAATCCGTGAAGTAAAAAGTAGAATGTTACGTATATATTCTATCATTGTATTTTACAGCTTGGATATAAAAAACTCAAAGTATTTTTGGAAAGAACGTGTGTTAAAATTGCAAAATTCGTATAAAGTTGAGTTCAATTGTAATTTAGTTTAACTTTTTTGTTGTTGTTGTTGTAATTGACATGTATTGTGCACACCCGAATGAACAAATGCAAATTTTATTTTAATTATGACATTTGATATCGCTATATTAGTTTGGAGAGTCCGAACCCATAACGAGCAATTCCTGGAATCGCCACTGGTTTCATGTCATTTCTCTGTGAAAATTAGGGAAAAACTATATAATTACATTTTTCTCTGAAAGTTTGCTAGGAGGCAAGCTAGCTAGTAGTATGTTTATTTTCATAATAATAATAATAATAATCCTCTTAGGTACTGTTAAAATAAATTGAGAGATATTTGGAAAAATTTATTAAATTTTTTGAAAGAGGAAATAATGAAAATTTTATTATTTTACAAATGATAATCATTAGACTTACCCTTTTTAAGCTTGTAGATACATCTCATTATCAAACATTCATTAAGAATATGTTCTCTAAATGTGTGCCCATGGACACACGTTAGAAAACCGATAAAATATTATACTCGGTAATAATTATTTTATCTAAAAGTTACTCCCTCCGTCCCAAAATTACATTACTGTTTGGAAATTTACACGGTAATTAAGGAGGAAAGAATAAGACAAATAACAATAATTAGATAATGCAATGGGAAGTATAAAACATTAAATAATGTTTTTGAGTAAAACAAAGATAGATTAGTGATTACTCATGACATGTCATCAATCCTTTGCAAAAAAAAAAAAGGACCAATCACATGCTCCTAATTGAAATTTTTAACCAATCATATTCATTATAATTTGGCACAAGGATTCTGAAAATTAAAGGCTGAAAAAGTACATTAGCCAACCAAACATTAAAAGTGGAATATAAATATATTAATTATACATTAAAAGTACAACTGAAAAAGAGAGTGTATTTGAGATATTTAGAAGAAAAAAAACTTACTAAAAATAGAAAGGTGGAATGTAATTTTGGAATACCCAAAATAGAAAGGAGGAATGTAATTTAGGGACAGAGGGAGTACTAAAAATAGTAAGGTGAAATGTAATTTTGGAACACCCAAAATAGAAAGGAAGAATGTAATTTAGGGACAGAGGGAGTACTAAAAATAGTAAGATGGAATGTAATTTTGGAATACCCAAAATAGAAAGGAGAAATGTAATTTAGGGACGGAGGGTATAATTACTATCTATTGTTAAATATAGGGTGTATATATTTGTATATGGTGTATATCTTCTAGTTAAAGCATCATTAGTTGCCTAATTGTAATATTATTTGTCACGCTTAGTTTGCGGCTTGTATCATCTACATATGCTAACTTTGGTAAAGTAAATACTCAAGAAAAATATTCCCAAATTTCATCATCTTTTTAGACAAAAATTGTATCATATAAGATCAATAAATTTATATTTTGTTGGCAAAAATATGATATAATATCATTTATTTTTATTCTAGTATACGAAATGTGATATTTTTATTCTATTATAATATACGAATTAAAAGGAAATAAAAGGGTTTAAGGAAATTAAAAGACTTCAAAATATGTAGTATACTAATTGCTTTATTTAGAATAGCAAAAAAGAGCAGGAATTTTTTTAATGAAAAGGTGACACGTGGAGCTTTTGTTTTGAGTGCCCTCTGTTTTAGTAGTTATAGTTTTTTTTATACAATATAGTGTTTAATAAGCCATTACTCGTTAGAGGACGCTAATATTGTAGCATAAGAGTTTCAATGACATCAAAATTCTAAATCTTTCCAATATAAATACTTTATAATTCAAATTAAACCCTTTTATTTTACTATTGATAAAATATACCCAAAAAAAAAAAAGAAAAAAAAAATTCTACGGTCCTAACGGGTTACGGACTTATGGATTATAAACGGTTCGGTTATAACTGATTACGGGTTGTAAACAGTTCGATCATAACTTATTACGGGTTATAAACGATTCAATCCTAACCAGTTACAGGATGTAAACGATTTGGGTTTATCGGATTTTTGTCGGGTTTAAACGATTTCGGTCTACAATGGCAGACATATACCCTTTCAAGAATTGTCGGCCTTCAAAGCCAAATTCCTGAGTTCGCTGCAAAACGACGTAGCCCAAATCCATAGGTCATCAAACCTAGGATAGGGTCACACCTTTCTAGCTAGGTACTATAAATCGGGAGATTCCCCTCATTATTGGGGGACCTTACAATCATTTCATGATTTATTACTCTCGATAACAGAGAAAAAACTTGATCTCGGAATCCGAGAAGATATTTGTTTTCCGCACGTTTTTACTCCAAACGTATATTTACTTGACCGTTGGAGGAGGAACTCCGACCATCTGGAGCTTTCATGATTTTGCAGGTAAAGGCGGCCCTGGACCAGTATTGGTGTTGTAACTCTTTCGCAGGACACAAAAAACCCCCTGAAACAGAATGTGCATAATATTTATTCATTCATGTTTTGTTTCTTTATTTATATTATGTACTCTAGCAATTTGCAAAGGGTAGAAAAAAAATTGATACAACTCATAAGTTTATAAAACTCAAAGAGCATTTTTATTTTAGGAAATTTTGTAAATTACAACCATAAATACACCCTTTTTAAGTAAATTTACTATTTTAAATGAAAATTTGATTCTCACAATAAGACCCCGTTCACTTCACCTTCTTTTTGCTGAACTGAAATTATTTTTACTGAACTAAATTTTTTTTTTTTTTTTTTTTCTGATTTTCTATCATAATTTTTTTGAGTTACTGATTTTTAGTGAACTAAAATTATTTTTACTGAATTAAATTATTTTTATTGATTTGAAATTATTTTTACTGAATATTATTTTGTTAAGGTGAATTGAGGTACTCACATGAAGCCCAAATTGATAAAACACATATTGTCCAATTTGGGCCACTTTATAATAATGTTATAGTGCAGTGTGTTTTTTAAAATAATGTCAAAAAAAAAAAAAAAAAAAAAAAAAAAAAAAAAAAATAACATTATTACAGCCATTCACAATTCACTCTTTACAATTCAGTTGAGAATCACATAAATGGCAGAACACCAAGAGAGTAGCTCAAAAAAGCAGAAATTGAGCTCCATAAAAGACAACAATAGCGGAGACTCAGAAAATGAAGACCGATTAAGTTCTCTCCCAGACTCCATTCTCGCCGACATCCTCTCACTTCTCGACATACCTTCCGCCGTCGCCACCTCCGTCTTATCCCGCCGGTGGCGTTACCTCTGGACCCAAGTCACCCACCTTGACATCGACTACGACGATTTCGAATCGCTAGTTTCTGAGGATGACTACTTTTCCAAAGTCTCCAACACCGTCGACCACATTCTCCGCCAATGCTCGTCCCCCAAAATCAACACCTTCAATCTTCGTATCGAACATCCTTTTATGGATGAAGAATTTGAGACTACTCAAAGGTATATTGTTTCGTGGATTACTCTGTTTTGCAGTAGATTTGTCAATCAACTTAAGGTTGATGTTTTTGATACTGGTATGCCTCGATTTCCCGTACCTGTTTGTGTTTATCAGAGTGTTAATTTGTCGAAACTCGAATTAAGGGGACCTTTTGCTTGTGTGTTATCTGATAGTTTAGCTATTCATCTTCCTAATTTAAAATCTCTGGTGTTAGATTCTGTCGACATTGCTCCTGATTTGATCGGTAAACTTACTAAATCTTGCCCGTTGTTGGAGTCTTTAGATTTGCATTTGAATGGGGCAGAGAATGCAGTTGTTATGAATATATCAGCTCTGAATTTGAATTCTTTGGTTGTGTTTTTGGGTGGAAATACTGGAAATTGGAAACATTGCCAAGTTGTGATTGATGCCCCGAAATTGGAACGTGTTTCGCTAGGTGGCCGGTTAGCGTGTTATCAGTTTGCAAACAATAGAAATACATTACTCCACGCTAAACTAGATTTTGATCGTTCTACTTTCGAGGCTGGAAGTGATTATCTTAGCCACTTAGCGAAACTTCTTCAAGAGATATCTTGTGTTGGGAGCATTCACATAGTGGGTGCCCTTAGAATGTTCAATCCGATCAACTATGTAGTGGCCAATATTTGGAAAACCTTTCATAATCTGACACGGATTTGCTTGATCCATCCTTCACTACACCAAGTGATGTTCTCGGATGCTCCAATTCCTGCTTGTTTGTTAGCTAAGGTTAAGTGGATAAAATTAGACGATCTCAAGGGTGATGAAAATGATATTTGGCTACTCAACTACATTCTTTCGAATGCAGAAGTTTTAGAAGAGATTTTGGTTGATGTTCCCACTGTTGAATACCTTGGAGGAAGTGAACAAGATCAACTCTGGTGGGAGTTGAACTTTTGTAAGGAATTGTTTGAGCTTCCTAGGAAATCCTCAACTTGTGATATTAAGTTCTCTGGTAGTTTTGTAGATTCATCGAGCAATGATTATAGGCATGGATCGATTGCTTGTCGACTTGAATGGAGTCTATGGGGGTCTTAATTTGTACACCAGAATTGTATGTTTCAGCTCATCTTTTGTAGGAAGTAATTCATGTAAGCTTTTCCCTTGAGATTTTACAATGTCCAAAGAGCTTGTAACCCTTATCAGTCTTTTGCCTGTTATTGTAACTCTCATGGAATGGCTTATATTATAAACGTTGTTCTCTCTGTATTAATATTCTCAGTGGCTAGTTCTGGTTTAATATCATACCAAAAATGTTGATTTCCAATTGATCAAAGTTTGTAGCCTAGGTTAGTAATATTAAAAAGTTAAATGTGTCAATTATTTTGAGATGAAGGGAGTAATACATGTCTCTTACATTATCACGGCAAATTTCTACTCCTTCTGTTTCATGAAATTGCTTTTCACTTTACACTTTAGATCATTTTAAAATTTATGTCAAAATTGGCATTCATAGTAATTAGGAATACATTGATCATAGATGCTGGGGAGAGTAGTTGCTTGACAGTTGACAAGTTGAAGTAATAGTCATGGACTTTATGTTTGAAGATAACTTTACAAATGTCTGAGAAAAGAAAACTGTTCACCACATTACATATAAAGCTTGAGCAACAACCATTTTCCCGCCAAAAATAACACAACTGTTGCAATTTCCCTCCATTTGTTTTATTTATAGTTACCATTTTCCCGCCAAAAACAACACAACTGTTACAATTTCCCGCTAAAAAAATCATTTATTACCATTTTTCCAAAAACATTAGTATTGAGTCAATAGTAATCATCACCTTTTTTATCTGTCATTTATCCTCAATGCTTTTCTTTCTTTTTTTCTCACTCGCTTGTCTAACTCTCACAAACTCAAAAATTACCAATGGAAAACAGCGTCAACAATGGCAAGAAGAGAAGATTGTATCCATGTGATACCACCAACAATGGCAGCAGCCGCGGCAACGGCGAAGTAGACAGATTAAGCACTCTCCCAAACTTCCTTTTGGGCAACATTCTCTCTCGCCTACCCCTTCATTTGGCTGCCACCACTTCCGTCTTATCTCGTCGATGGCGCGGTCTCTGGTCCCGATATTCGTCACCCGCCTCATCCTCCGCTACTATCAGTTCTCACGGGAATCCTTTACTCCATACTCTGGCGGTCGTCACAAATTCCTAACCATTGTTGATCAAATTCTCCGGCAAGTTACATCCCCTGAAATCACCACCTTCCAACTTCAATTGTACTGTGAAGATGATGATAGGGAATTCTGCTCTTCGCTTTAATTGTCATTCTTTAATTGAACTTGAATTTCGTGGAAATTTTCGTTTTAATTTGCCTGAAAATCGAATTATTACTCTTCCTAATTTGAAGAAGCTTGAAATTCATCTTCCTGTTCTGAATACTACATTCATTAGAACAATCATAACATTACTTAAATCCTGCCCGATTTTGGAAATTTTGACTTTGATATTAAAATGGTCATGTGATGAATTTGTCATGGATATATGTGCTCCTAACTTGAGGTACTTTAAGGCGAGTATGTCTGGAACATCGTGGCGTAGCAGGTTTATGATCGATGCACCTCGGCTGAAAGACATTGTAATTGGCAGTAGTTTGGCCTGTTACAGCTTTGTGAATCATCCAGGTAGATTACAAAATGCAAACATCAGCTTTCGGCATTCTACCAGTAAAGGCGAAACTGATTCTGTGAGTGTTTTATCAGACTTTATTCAAGGAATTTCTAGCATAAACTCCCTTGACTTGTATGATGATCTTACTATATTCAACTGCTTTCGATATATGAGTGTTAAAGTGAGGCCGGTTTTTTTCACAATTTGACGCGCCTCATCTTGACAAAATATACTAAGGAGATTGAGAATGAGAGTGTTCTAATACCGGTATGTTTGTTGAGGAAGCTCAAGTATATAGAAATTTCGGAAATTACAGGGGATGAGAGTGATGTAAGGTTCGTTAAGTACATTTCTAACAATGCAAATGTGTTGGAGCAACTTCGTGTAATGATTGATAACCTCGACAATCTTGAAGATGATGATGGAGAAAAGGATCAGCTATGGAGGGAGTATATGTTCTGTAGAACATTGTTTAATCTTTCGATGAGATCATCAGTTTGTGAGATCGAGTTTGAAGGTCACTATATAATCAAAGCAACGACTCCTAATTTAGATGTTGGACCTAGTATAGTTAATTATTTTGGCCGTCAATTGTCTGAATGAATTTTGAATGGATGTCAAGGTTAAGTATTGTTGTAATTTCTAAATGCTAGTCGTTTTTCTATAAGATATTATCATCTGCTCTACAATGTATTTCTATATTCTGTATGAAATGTGAAGTTCTTTGTGTTCCCGATTATGTCCCAATTTTTTTTAAAAAAATTGAGCTAGTATGTTGTAATTTATCTCAGATTTAGAACTTTGTTCCGTTAAAGAGATCGATTTGAGAGGTATTTCATGGTTTTTATATATGTAATGCATCGAGCAAGGACTTTGAAGATGGAATACTGTTAAAATATGGAGAGAATATGATTGAACGGCTTAACTTTCTCATTCACATATGAAGAATATATATAGGTACAAAGATATTCCTAACCCTAACATAATTAGGAATAAGATAGAATATTAACATAACTAGGAACCTAAAGATATTATACAATATTTCCCAATTATTATCTTAACATTCCCCCTCAAGATGGAGCGTGCAGATCTCGAATGCCCATCTTGCTAAGTAAAAATTCAAATTACGCCTTTCCTAAGGCCTTTGTAAAAATATCCGCCAATTGAATCTTCGTAGAAACATACGATGGCTTAATCACTCCTTTAATGGCATCCCTAATAAAATGACAATCTACCTCAATGTGTTTTGTTCTCTCATGGAATACCGGATTGTTAGCAATATGAAGTGCCGATTGACTATCACAATACATGTTCATACCTTGTTTATGTTCTACACCCAAAGATCGAAGTATTTGTTTCAAGTGTTTCAACTCACATTGCAAACCTGTCATTGACCTATACTCGGCCTCTGTGGAACTCGTAGAAACTGTAGGTTGCTTCTTAGTCTTCCAGAAAATGGGAGATAACCCGAGCAATACAAACCAACCCGTCAACAATCTACGAGTCAAGGGACAACTTGCCCAATCTGAGTCACACCATCCTTCCAACTGGAGACTACTATCCGACCTTAGTAGAATACCTTGACCCGGACATTTCTTCAAATATCTTACTACTCTCAATGCCGCTTCCCAATGTTCCTCTTTTGGACATTGCATAAATTGTGATAAAATATGCACCGAATAAGTCAAATCCGACCTTGTGACTGCCAAATATATCAAACGTCCAATCAACCGCCTATATTGCTCACCATCTACGTGCTCCTTCCCTTCTGCTAAGGCAAGTTTATGATTTTGCACCATCGGTATGTCCACCGGCTTTGCTCCTAGCAACCCTGTCTCAGAAATAATATCCAAAGCATACTTACGCTGACACACATAGAAACCATGTTTACTACGTGCCACTTCTAGCCCCAGAAAATATTTCAAGGCACCCAAATCTTTCATTTTAAAACATTGACACAAGTATGCTTTAAAACTCTCCAACGCAAATGTATTATTTCCTGCAATTATCATATCATCCACATAAGCTAAGACACTCAGCTGCATTCCACCCTTTGAAAGAGTGAATAAAGAATAATCAGAGTACGACTGTTTAAATCCATATTTCTTCAAAGCTGTAGACAATTTTTCAAACCAGCATCTAGGAGCTTGCTTCAATCCATATAAGGACTTCCTCATCTTGCAGACTTTATCTGAATTGCCTTTTTGAAATCCCGTCGGTACTTTCATATAGATCTCCTCCTCTAAATCATCGTGCAAGAAAGCATTATGCACATCCATTTGTTGCACGTCCCAATTTTTAATCGCTGCAACTGCTAAGAAAGTACGTACCGTAGACATTTTTGCCACTAGAGCAAATGTTTCATTGTAATCGATCCCTTCTTCTTGATGATTACCAAATACCACAAGTCTTGTTTTTAATCTTAGCAGATTACCGGCCTCATCTCTCTTCTCAGTGCAAACCCACTTGCTTCCCAGTGCTTTCTTTCCTGCTGGAAGATTCTCCAAGGTCCAAGTGCCTTGATCTTCTAGAGCCTTTATTTCTAAGGCCATAGCTTCTCTCCAACCTTCATGTTGCATTGCTTCCTTGAAAGATCTCGGTATTCATGCCTCTGTGACTGCTGCAATATAATTTCTATCTTTTTTCTGAAAACCGATCATAATTCACAAAATATGTTATAGGATAGGGAGTACCTGAGGAAGATGATGTCGCGGATGAAGGTGTGACTTTATTTTTATTTTTCCGAATGGTGTGAGTAACACAATCCCTCAACTTCGACGACGGAAATTTCACTCTTTTCCCTCGTCCTAGCTCTTCTTCACCCTTATTTTCTATAGCCATGTTGTCCCCCCTGTCCTCCAAGGTTTGTGTGGCTGGAACCCCCTGTAATTCATGCCCCGAGCTGCTGTGTTTCTTCCCAGAGCTACTGAGAAGATGCGGACTGCTGCCTGGCAGTTTTGTGCTGTTGCCCGCACTTCCAGCATGGCTCGAGGCCTGCTGGGCAGACCCCTCCGCAGCCAGGTTGCGGCTGGGAGTGCTTCCCCGCGGCCTGGCTGTGGGCCCTCTGTCTGGGGTGCTTCCGTGGCCTGCTGAACAGCAAGGTCCGCAGCCAGGTTGCGGCTGGGCACCTGCTCCCGCGGCCTTGCTGCGGTGTCTTCTGTCTCGGCCTTCTCATAAACTCCCACCAATTCTCCATCATGCCATGCCTCAAACTCATCTTGATCGATTAAAAATTCAGTCACCGCATCCGAAGTACCACCATTGTCATCCACACTCTCACTAAACGGATATACTTGTTCATGAAACTTCACACCCCGTGACACAAAATACTCCCTTGTCTCTAAGTCAAATAATTGCCACCTTTTTTTCCAAACGGATAGCCAAGAAATACACATTTTCTACTACGAGACTCAAACTTATCTCCCTTACTTCGTTGATTATGTGCATAACACAAACAACCAAACACTCTAATAGAATCATAAGATGGATTTTTGCCAAACAACATTTCATACGGAGTTTTATTATGAAGAACTGGACTTAGAGTCCGATTAATCAAATAACAAGCAGTCAAAGCACATTCACCCCAAAAAATAATCGGCAATTCCCCTTGAAACCTCAAAGCACGAGCCAC